GTGAGCAACCAAAGGTCAATCCTAGCCCAGTGCCCTGTCTACTATATCATGAACATCTACGGAATCAAATGGCTGACCTCTTAATTAAAAAAAAATTATATATATATAATTGTACATATTGTATATTGTATAACTACATATATATATATACACACACATATATGTACATATATATATATAAATTGTAACATAGTATCATAGCTCATGTTCTGAGAGCTCCAGATTTTTCTGGGACTCAACTAGTCTGATGAGATTGTGAAGGCTTTGATAGGACCCATGCTGTGAGGCCCCTATGTTTTATTCAGAGTCTACACAGGTGGCATTTCCAGTTTGGGCCAAACTTCACAGATCCCACTGAGGTTGGTATAACTGTGCAGCTCTGCACCTATATAAGAATGATAAATAAAGGCTGTTTTAATCTGGGGGGAAAACATCACTTTGGTAGTTTAAAACTCTAAACAATTAGAACAGTAAAAGTATTTATCTGTTTCCATGCTCACTTGCAGTTTCTTGCTTCAATCACCCAAGCTAGTATAAGGTATGGATCTCAAAGAAAGCTGTAGAAGTTTCCTTGGAAATAGCTGCAATCTGAGAGCATTCACTGGAAAAAGCTTTATCTGTACACAAATAGGAAATGAAAAATGGAAATAAATATGGAAAAAATAAGAGAGTTTAAGATGATCAGATTCAGTGAATTTCTGATTTATGCTAATGCTGGCATTCTATTCCGGGTTAAATATATAATTCACTGGGAAAAGAGAAAGTACAGTAAGCATCACATAGCTTAGATATCTGCCGCAAGTCCAGTGTCATTCTAACTGATAGTAATAACAATTATCAGCCTATAAATCCAAGTAAAGTTTGAGAACTAGGTAGAAATAATCATGATGTCCAATGAAGAACAGATACAGTAGTATACAATCAGGAAAAAAACAAACAAACAAAAACCTCCCACTCCCGCCATGCAGCTACTAAGAAGGTGGCCTGAAAGCCGGGCTGCCTGAGCTAAGGACCAACTCACACTTACTGACCACGAGACACTCAGCAAGTGGCCTAATCCCTTCAAGACACAGCTTTTTTATCTGTAAAACGAGAAAAGCCGCACTATCTACTTTGTCAGAGTCGATGTGAGAAGTAAACGAGCTAAAGTGTAGAAAGCACTTTATACCATGCCTGGTGTAGAGTTAAACACACATTGTAGGTCGTCTTATTTCATCTCAGGCAAAACAAACTTCATGCAATCTCCAATAACTCTGCTGACTGTGGGTTCCCATGAGCCTGGGACAGCCTGGTTTACTGGACTGCTCTGTCTTAGCAAGAGCACCCTTTCCTACTCCAAAAAGCATCCCCGTTTGGATGCTAAATTTTACACGCCCCCGCCCCCCTACAAATAATAACCATGAGTTATTCATTCCTGCCTCCAAGCCTTCTTTCTGCTGGTCTCCCCAATTAAATGATCTCAACTCCTCTCCTCCTTCTGAAACATTTCCACTGCCAGTCTTTCAGAACTGCTGTTTTTCCTAAGCAGAAAGAGCATCATTAGCTCCATTTTATACATGTGAAAACTGAGGTAGGAAGAGAAAGGGTAAATTCAGAAATTACAGACAGAAGAATTCAGAGATATCTAGAGTTAACACAAATAGCCCAGAAGAAACATAAATGGCCAAGCTAGGCCTAGAACTCTGGTCTTCTGACTGCGAAGCTTAGATTCCTTCTTAAAGTCACTATGAAGGAGACAGAGAATAATAATGTGTGTATCTAACCACATATACATTGTTATAGATTTGGACTATACAGTTTATACCTGACCTAGGTAAGAGATGGGCAGATGTTTACAATAGGTGGTGGCATCAAATAAAGAAAGGGAAAGGGAGAAAAGAATATTGTTTCAGTAGGAATACTTTAGTATATATTGTGATTTTTTAAAAACTGTGGGAAATATGAGCAGATAATAATATATTATGTTACAGCTTTCAAAAACACTATTTTAAAAATCTTTTAAACAACCTTGCAAGGTAAGTGAGTATCGTCCCATTCCTTAAGAAGAAATGGAGGCTGACAGGAATGAAATGAATTGCCCAAGGACCTCTGAGACAGTAACTGAGCTGGGGCCATAATTCAGGACTTCTGGGTCCTCCTCTCGGATACTTTCTGCCACACCTATCTGCCTCTGAGCTGTGCTAGCAAAAGATGATCATCTGATCAGATGAACATGGCCTTTAAGAGGTGGGACCATTCAACTTATCATTGAAGACAGGGCACTTGACAGTGTAAGGGGGCGCTCGTAATAATTATACGGCGACATTAGGTGTCAATGGACAGTTCCACCCAAAGTGGGAGGTGTGGTTGCCCTGCACCCTAGGTTACAGTGCACTCTCTGGTAAGTTTTGCACATTAAACTTCTAAGAAATGAGAACTTTCGTTTTTCTTAGAAAACAGAATAATTCATACAATACTTAAAGCACAAGGCAGGCCGGGCGTGGTGGCTCACGCCTGTAATCCCAGCGCTTTGGGAGGCTGAGGCGGGCAGGTCACAAGGTCAGGAGATTGAGACCACGGTGAAACCCTGTCTCTACTAAAAATACAAAAAAAATTAGTGGGGCGTGGTGGCGGGTGCCTGTAGTCCCAGCTACTCGGGAGGCTGAGGCAGGAGAATGGCGTGAACCCGGGAGGCAGAGCTTGCAGTGAGCCAAGATTGCACCACTGCACTCCAGTCTGGGTGACAGAGCGAGACTCCGTTTCTAAATAAATAAATAAATAAATAAATAAATAAGCAAGCACATGGCAATATGGACCTTATTGGGTGTAAAGAAGTCTTTTTTCCATCTTTCTTTCTTCTATTCTTGGGAAATTATTTACATTATTTTTGGAGAAAAGAGGCTTAATCCTTCTAGAGATGATTCCTCCCCAAGTCTTAAAAGTGGTCTTGCAATTTAAAGTATAAGAAAACAGACCTAAGTTGCCGTCTTTATCTGCATCCAAAAATTATCTTAATGATCCTTATGAAAAGCTCCTTACTTCACTATTACAAAACAACAGGGACTGAAAGCATGCTGTGAGATCCTGTTGGGGCTCTGCCATTTCCTAGCTGTGTAATTTTAGCCAGGTGAGTTTCCTCATCCATAGCACGACTCAAGGTTCAAGCCATACACTAGACACTTCCACTCTTCTTCAGATTATGATAAAATCAAAGCTTTTACAGGTTCAGTGCCTTTCTCAAAAATCACAGAATTGTAAGAACTGTACCCAGGAATGAAATTTGACCCTCTGAATTCCAAACCCTTTCCTCTATGATGCTCTGCTTTAAAATTACTGGGAAAGTGTCATTGAAGACACTGGTAATGTTATATAAAAGATCAGTTCATCCAAGAGGTCAAAAAAAAAAAAAAAAAAAAAGAAAAACAAGAAATTACAGAAGACCACTCTTACATAAGTGGTAGATATGACTGAATAACCTATCACGGATACTGTTTACTGTTTAACAGAGTATATTTATAATGCTAAATATTGGAGTCAAGATCATATATTTTCTAAATAGGTTTTAGGAACAAAGACACAAAGCTTATAAATACTGAAGGAATACAGCATGTTACTGCCTGAATACAAAGGCTTAATTGACAATTTCTTCCTAGACATCTGTCTTTAGAATTTGGTGACCTAAAAAGTACTCTTAACATACCTAACAGCCCTAAAATATTCATGTGAAAGTGATAGTTTTAATGATGACATCAACTGTGCCTCATGATATTGCTCATTTGAACAGAGAAGGACAAATTCTCCTCAAAAGATGCTAATAATGTTTTCAAAATAAAAACACAAAACAAAGTCCTTATATCTTAGTCACAAGATACCAATAAAACTGAATTTATGTCTAGTTTAATTGAACAATGGAAAAGTCAGCAGTTAAAGGGCAGAAAAACTTCCCTTTGTCCCTCTTTTCCTGAGAAACTTTCAAATGTTGAAAATCAATTCCTTTTGTCCCCTTGTTATTCATCTGCTACACATTAAATAGAAACTCTGGGCATTGAGTGATTCCTGCAGAGTCTTTCATCTACACAAGAGCCTGGTACAAATTAAATACTTACTCTCCCTCACAAATTATAGATATGTATTGTAGTACACCATCGATTTATCAGTCCATGCCATTGTGAGTTCAGTTTGGTGAGAGCAGCCCATTGTAGTCCTTTATCTAAAGTTACTCTGGGGTTAAGGATTGTGATGCTATGTTAATTAATGTGGAGCATTACTATTCTGCTCTGATTTTGCAGGCTATATTTTAAAAATCATTTTGTTGGATATTGTGTTTTAGTTACTTTGCAGATCTTTGAGCCATTTAGCCTAGCTCTGGGTGTGTGTGTGTGTGTGTGTGTGTGTGTGTGTGTGTGTGAGAATTACTATACTGGAACAATAATATATGTAATATTACCTCTAGCAGCAATGTTACACTATGAAATGACCATCATATGGGTTATCACAAATAATATGGAAGTACAGACTCTCTCCAAGATCTGTTAGAAATATTCAGTTGATGCAAACATTGTTTTAGCATTGGACTTTAAGACCAATAGCTAAGGCAGTGATTTCAATCCCAAGCCTGCCAGATGTCTTTGGAGACCATGGCTTACACAGTATCTATTAAATCCCAATTAGAAAGCAAGCATACACATATGCACACGCACACATACACAAAACACACACACACACAGAAACACACAAAGCCAAGCTATGAGTCTCTAAATAATGCTGGGAAGTTATAAAAATTTCACTTTAATTGGTAACCTACTAAACATATTCAAAACCTTTTTTGGCAAAGATTAGGTGTTCAATAAAAAGACAAATGTCATCAGCTCTTGGCAAATTTCACAAGTACCTTGACTTTCCCCACACTGTTTTAAATTTTTTCCCAAATATTTGTCTAAAGTGATCACCTTGAATAAAAAATGAGCACTCTAATGAATGAAAACTATCTTGTTTATTTGGAGCCTCCCAAGACGCCCCACCTCGCTTGAATCCTCCTGCTGATTGATAACTGCCAGCGCATCCTCTGCTGCCTGACGCTTGGCCTCGGCAACCGTGCGCTCCATCTTGGCCCGCTCTGTCGTGATCATGTCGTGGGCTTTCCGCTCCGCCTCAGACACGGCCTTCTGCAGCTCCGTCATCGCCTGGCGCTTCACCTCGTTGACGGCCTCCTCTGTGTGCCAGTCAGGCCAAACCAGACAAGAAAACACTCTCGGTTAGCCCAAGTCATTGGATATGGATTACTTTTCTTTTAATCTTTTTTTTTCTTTTCGAGTCAGGTCTCACTATATTGCCCAGGCTGGTCTCGAACCCCTAGGCTCAAGTGATCCTCTGCATCAATCTCCCCTAGCAGCTGGAATTAAAGGCACCTACCAGCCACCATGCCCACTATCTGATTACTTTTTTATAGAATTCTATAGAAAAAGCATAACTCTCATCCAAATTATTGGGCAGTTCCAGCAGTCTAAAAACTAGCAGATCTTTTGCCATACATTTAGGAAAACAAAGAGTGAAAATGTTTCTTTAACTTGAATTTATGGAAATATTTTTTGAAATTCCTATATCATTATTATAATGTTTTCATCAAACTGATGCCTCCAGAAATGATTCTGAGACCAGATAAGAAGTTAAAGGACAAGGACATTCGCAAGAAACCTGTCTGAATAATTCAGACACATAAAGTTAGTTTTCCACAATGCTAAAAGTTAATATGAATATAGGAGGGTCCACAGCTCAAGCATTCAGAAAAAAAGAGAGGGAGAGAATGGATTTTACACATAAACAAGTAAGTGCAAACTATTAGTTGCTGGTATAATCTACAACACAATAGTGAAAAGGTAACTCAGATAGCAATTAAGTTACTATAGACCTTTTAATGGAAAATCAATGCTATAATGGATGATCCAGCTTTACTTTTGAAAAGTCATTTCCTGAGTAATATAAGTATGTGCCTTTAAGATTACATGATAGAGGTTTTAAAAAATAATCTCATTTTTACATTTTAAGCTGCTGTCCATTTACTTTACCAAATATATACAGTGGTTTTGCATAACCAACTGTTGCACTAGACAAATATAACTGAATCATACCATGGGCCAAAACAATCAGGCCTGACTATGAGTCTGCAAGGTGTCAAATAAGCTCTTTATTTTTGGCTGAGGAAAGGGTGCAAAGATTCAACTAATGTACAACATAAGATTGACAACTAAAACAAGTAATTTCCATTAAAAAAATTAACTGTTCTAATTAACAGGGGAAAATATCCTCCCCCTGAATTAGTTTATCTAATTTTCATCTTTATTCAAAGCAAAATGACAATGATTAATTGAAAATTTAATAAGCAGTAATTATTAACTTGGCAAACCTAGTACCAATTAACACTCTATTAAAACTAATTATGACATGTTTCATTCAAGTGTTTGCACTTAATTGTTTCACCCACTTAAAAAGCACCTTAATTAAATGTTCTGTTTAATTAAAAACATAGATTCCTAATAAAAATGTTTTACTGTAGATTAAAAATGTAAGAGATGCAAGTGTTCCTATGGTTTCTTCAATTCCTCTGGTTTATTTCACACATCTATCGTCCATGACTTGAGAATCATCAGAAGCTCTCCATTACTAATTAACTGTCATGACTTTTGTAGCCTCTGTCATTTTAGCAGCATTATATCTGAAGTACATTTCTTTGCAATTACTGTCTGTTAGGTTTTATAAACTAAAATATAAGTAAAAGATCCATGCTGGAAATATTAACTAAATTGTATTAAGCCTTTGTTAGCTGCTTTAAGATATGCATTTAAAATCTGTGTAGAATCAGAGTATTGCAAACAGCTTACAGCACCTTCTTCACTAGGAGGTGAAAAGATGCCTTTATTACCCTATCATAAATGACTTGGGGCACAAGGGAAGTACTGCCCTTCTAACTATACAGCCAGGGTCTAATTTAGTTTGAATATTCAAGGTGAATTAAAATTCTATCTAAGTGGTAATACAGGACAATAATTTTTGCTTACGATCAAAGCTGTAGCTTGACTAATTGTATATGCAAATCAGGCAATTTATATTTAAATTATGCATTCCTATTCTAATCCCACAGGCATATACAGATCAGCAAAGAGAATTGGTAGGACATTTGCAAGGTGCTTGAATATTTATTACCAACTGCAAACATTCTCTGATCGTGTAAAAATATACTGAAGAAAGCATTCAGTTACAAATTTAAAACCATCTTTATGTTAGATTTTTTTTCCAGTTTCATAAAGACCCCTTGTAACTTTTGAGTGCATTTGTTACTTTTGCTTTTAAAAATACTACTTTTAGAAGAGAATATGGCCTTGAACAATTGTTTGGATTTCTAATCTTTAAAAATGTGTGTTGTTATGTTATTATACTGTATTATTCGGGGCAATGTGAAAGATTTGCATAGGGTCTGTAGATTAAATAAGTCTTGTATTAATGTGAATGTCTTGATTTTGGTAACTGTACTGAAGTTAAGTAGAATATTCTTGTTCTTGGTAAATTGACATTCAAATCATTTAAGGTAAAGAGAAATTATGTCTGCAACTTACTCTCAAAATGATTAGAAATATATATATATATATTTAAGAGAAAGAAGAGGATGAAAGAGAGGAAAAGATAAAATACTAAAGCAAGTATGATAAGGGAAACTAGGTGAAAGTTATAGAGGAATATTTTGTACTTTTTTTGTAACTTTCCTGCATGTTTGAAATCATTTCAAAATATAATGATGCAAAAAGCTATAGATGTACTTTCAAGCACAGGGTATACTTCTTGTAATTATAATTTTCTGTGAAAGTAGATGCATTTGTTATGCTACATCAAGTTTTGGGTGTTCTGCCCCTTTTGTATTTTTCAAACACTTTATTCACCTATCTTTTGCAACAAAGATAACATATAATAATTTCATTGCAAAGACACACTTTATAGGTTTTCTTCAAAAAAAATTTTTGCCCATAGCCAATTTTAGAAACCTAGGATAAAAGCTTTCAAATTGTAACAAGCTGAGTGCAGATGTCACATTCTGCCCTTGGTGTTTTCATCGTGTTGGATACCTTGACACTGAACACTAGAAATGCCATTTAAGAAGCCTATAAAGATAAATATTATAAGTAGTTACTGGAGATTTCTAGATGAAACTGTCATCCATACTTGGAGGATTTAATATACTCCTTAAAATTTAGCATCTATCCATAGAAAACTATTCCTAAACTGTTTTTAAGCAGCAGTTTAGGGATCCCACTGTGAGAAGAATACAAATTTAATGTCATATTTTAGATTAAAAACCTACTGTAGATCATAGGCGCTGTAACAAATAATCTAAACACTTCCTAGATAAGGTTTAACCCTTCTTGGAGAGGGCAAGCACACAACAAAAACAAGGACTGCTCTTAAGTCCCCAAAACCTAAATTACATGCAGAATTAGGTTAAAAAACCCCCAAAACAGGAGACAGTAAAGAAAAATAATAGTGGATTCAATAGATAACAATATGCCATGTAGGAAAAAATAAACAACTGACTAAGTGGAAAATACATAGTGCAGTTATGAATCTGCGTCCAATTGCTTCCCACTTATGGTAGGACTTCCTTTGTGCATAGCTATTCAAGTTGACTTTCCAACAAAGGTGCTATATTCAGAAAAATCTGTTCTCACTTAATAGCAGTCAAACAAAGACTTGAGCAGATAATAGCACATAAGGAATTTGGATTACACAAGACCTTACTGGCAATTTTTCTTTATGAACTATGAAGAATTTCACTTAAATATACTTAAAAAGGGAAGTGCGGAGAAAAGACTCACTCCTCTGAACATAAAGTCACCCTTCTTCTGTCCAAAATCACAATTATTTGTACCTCTCATTGGAATAAGTTGCACTGACAGCTTAGAAATGGAAGAGAAAATGGTCAGAAGGAAGATGTTGTCCGTCTTTTCAGGTAGGTGGTACTCGGCATATTTTTAACAGCTTGAGAGTACCACATAACTATTATTGTAAATCTGGTAAAACTACACAGTTCAGTAACATATGTATTTTAACCTGTAAGCTAAATGGACCTATCTAATTTGCATATTGGACGTGCAAGACAGCTTTCTGATTCTTAATCTGGGCTACTAAACCTACAATGCTATCAGATTTTAAAGCTCATTATCACTCTTACAAAAACAGGTATTTCTTGGAAAACGTATAAAAATACTTGGATAAGATACATGTGACTAGCCGGGCGCGGTGGCTCATGCCTGTAACCCCAGCACTTTGGGAGGTTGAGGCGGGTGGATCACAAAGTCCGGAGATCGAGACCATCCTGGCTAACACGGAGAAACCCCATCTCTACCAAAAAAAATACAAAAAACTAGCTGGGCGTGGTGGCGGGCGCCTGCGGTCCCGGCTACTCGGGAGGCTGAGGCAGGAGAAGGGCGTGAACCCGGGAGGCGGAGCTTGCAGTGAGCCGAGATCATGCCACTGCACTCCAGCCTGGGCGACAGAGCGAGCGAGTGGGCGGCAGAGCGAGACTCCGTCTCAAAAAAAAAAAAAAAAAAAAAAAAAATACATGTGACTAGAGAGTCAGCAAGTACACAGAACTACAAACACAGCTGAGTGAAATCCCAAAGAGAAATCTTGTGTAGAAAAGAAACAAAAAATCTGTCCCCTGACTCTTCAGTTTGTACTGTTTGTACAAGTAGCATTTCCCAGTTTCCCAACTCAAAAAGACAAACTATTTTAAGAGTTGGAGTTACAGTAGCTGAAAGCCTTGGTATGTTTTTCATGGCCTCTTCAACTCTTGAAACAGGTTTATGTTTCATCTCCTGAGCTGGTTTTCAAAAACGTTTTTGCTTGCTAGGTGGTTCCACCAAAATTCTCACAGATCTGGACTTCTTTAAGCCCAATAACAAGTCAGTGGGTCATGAGGAGATTTAAATCTACTATTACAAAATACAGAGCAGCATCTTGTAATGGAAAGCAGACAGTGTATATGAAAAGCAAAAATAAATGTTTAGTAACTTTGTTATTTCACTTAAAAAGTAATTTAGCTCTGATTGTTGAATACTAATTAGTACAGAAGAACAATTTTAAAAGTCGATTGTAACCAAAAAATTATCTGAGTACTTTAACAAGTCAACTAGATGTGATGTGGGTGTTTTTTTTTTTCTTTTTTTTTTTAAGAATGCAGGAGAAAAGGCTGAGGTATGCAATTTAATTTCTAAGACATTAGATTTTTTTCATCATAGAAAAAAAATGCATGCGAGCTAAGACCTCCTATGCCAAGTTTCAGCCTGAAATCATTATGGCCCTGAAAAAAAAAAGGAGTTTTATAATGGAAATATTGCCAGCTTCTCAATTATAGTGAAACTGGCAGATGTTACTAAAATAAAAATGATTTCATCTTGTAATCAGGCCTGGTTTAAGAATATTAATCAGGTGTTTTGTTTTGGTTTGCTTTGTGGTTTTTGTTTTGTTTTGTTTTTGCTGTTGTTGTTGTTAGCAGTAAAGTCCTTTCTTGTCATTCCTCACATCACTGCATTAACAACTGCACACAGCTGCCAGAACACGAAACTCATGTTTTTAAACAATTCTTACCAGCTTTCTTCCAGATCTCCTCTGGCACGTATCCAGACGCAGGCCTGTGAAGGAATTCCCGATGCGCGTCTATGAAAAGGATGGGAAGGGGGTGGAGAGAGGAGGAGAGTACTGTAAGCACACTTGTGTCATTGTACAGAGTGAAAGTAAGCAATGCCCATTCTCCTGGCTTCTCTACAAAAACACAATTTTAAAAGGCTAAACATTTCACTTCTTGAAAATACACAAAAATAGCAAGGCCTGTCATCAGAGCCCAAGGAAAACAGGTCATTGGTCTAAATGCCCTGCATGCTCAAAGCCAAAGCAACTTGATTTCATTATACAATATGATGTTTGGGAACACTGTTCTCACTACTTTCTGACTATGGAGACTTCTATAGATATATTTTGTTAAAGAAAATAAATTGTATTTGGTAGTTTTCCTTTCAAGAGTCAATCAAATTGGTGGTTAAAAAATCAAATGTTCAGGTAATGTAATTTCCACAGAGCTCTGATTCTGCCACCTTTCTATGAATAGCAAGCTCCACTCTATGGCTAACCAGTTCTCACACTTAATTAATTCTTAAAAATCTCAGTGAGCATTAAAATTTTTCACACAAATTAGATCATATGGATTTGACATGGGTGGAAGCCAGAAAGACTCATTAGAATGGATTCACAGACATTCTGCTGAGCAAAGAGAATTAGCCCATGCTTTCCAGAAAAGGAAATGAAGTTCCACTTTAAATTAAATGCAGTGCTTACTATGCTTCTCAGATTTTAAAAGTTTAAGAAAACAACTAATAACAACTTTGATACAGGAATACTAACTCCTAAAATAATATGTTCATGGAAATAACACAAAACATTTTATAGTACTTGTATATGCTCGAAAGTAAACAAAGTGCATACAGTCTTCCATAGCTAAAATATGCATTTCACGTCTTCCATATCGGATTTTCAATAAAAGCCTCCTTATATAGAAGAGTTCAGTAAGAAAAAAATCATTTTAACTTTTATAAAACACAATTATTAAACCCATGATAAATTCTGAGGAAAACTGAAAGTTTCTCTATGTGTAGATTAAATGTTGAGTAGCATATATGTTTAAACAATACTTTATCTAATGGTTATGTTGACGATCAAGACATTCAGTCCAGTCTCCTATATTTTATGGTGCTACACAATGTCAAAAATAAAGAGAAGCATGATCAGTTTAGCTAAGTATATGTTATTACATTTGAATGCTTTAAATACATTTGAATGCTTTGAATTCTTGCAGGGCACATAGATTATCAACTGGCAAGAACATTAGATTTTCTCAACTATTCTGAATTAGCAAAAATTTACTATAGCTTGGTAAGGAATATATGGAAACTATATCATCTTTGCAATTTTTTAATCTAAAATTATTCCAAATATTTAAAAGTTTATTTTCAAAAGCTTACACTCTGATGTCATGACTACTTAATAGGATGGACTGGAAATATCTATGCATTCTCCTGTGTGTATTCATTTCTATAAAGTAAATGACAAAAATAAAAACGCTTTTACTGAAGTAACTTTCATTCTTAAGGCGAGATAAAGCTCGTACATAAACAACCTAAAAGGAAATGTGATACAACTAATTAGATTTATCAAGATTATCTTCCTTACCACTATAACTATTTGCAGAAGAAATAAAGTGCAATCAAGTTCATATTTAGCCATGTGACACAGTACAACACAGAGATTTACTTATGACAACATTTAAAGACAACTTTTAAGGAGAAAAGACTTTAAGCATAATTTATTGGATAAGAATGAGAACAGATCTGTAAAGTCTGAGGAAAGAAAAAACATGACTCCAAAGTGGTAACTTTTATTTCATTTATTGTGTTAAGAAGAGACCTGTAGTTTATAAAAAATTATTATTTTTTCATTATTATTATTATTATTATTATCATTATATTATTTGAGACAGAGTCGTGCTCTGCTGCCCAGGCTGGAGTGTAGTGGCATGATCTCAGCTCACTGCAACCTCTGCCTCCCAGGTCAAGCGATTCTCGTGCCTCAGCCTCCCGAGTAGCTGGGATTACACGCACATGCCACCAAGCCCAGCTAATTTTTGTATTTTTAGTAGAGATGGGGTTTCACCGTGTTGGCCAGGCTGGTCTCAAACTTCTGACGTCAGGTCACCCAGCCTCCCAAAGTGCTGGCATTACAGGTGTGAGCCACTATGCCCAGCCTATAAACATTATTTTTTGATTAAATAGTCAAGTATTATGATAAAGAACAGGAAAGGAGATGTTTAGGTATCCAAAGTCCATGCATGAAAGATGCTAATTACCAGCCCCAGGCAACACAGGCTGAAGAAAGTTAGTTCTAGCGCCCAGTGAAGCAGCTATTGACCATGGAACACTGAGTATGTTAGTTTGTCTATGTCTCAGATGCCTCATCTATAATAAAGAGAGGACAATACTACTATTATTTGAGAGCACTGCTGTGAGGATTGAAGGAAATACCTCCTATTACATATACATCCTAAACTCTCATCATCTGGTATTTGCTATTATCCTCATTATTATCATCATTATTATTACTACATGCTCTTGTAAGAATGGCTATATAATTATTTCCTTATAAATAACTAAGGTGAAGAGAATATTTTAAAGTTTATCTTTTCTCTCAATGTTAAAAATCCAAATACCACAAATTTTGAAGAGAACAAAGCCATTAAAGAAGTTTGGATTAAGCAATATACACCAAGTAATTTTTTAAACTCCCAGAATCTATGTCGCTTGGAAACAGAAAATATTTCTATAGTTCACAATTCACTGCCTTTGTCCTTGGAAGCAAAATCTTCAAATTTCTTAGATGACACTTTCAAAAATTTTACTTGAGCCTCACCCTTGAATGTTTATAACACCCAAATTGATTCAAATATTAACGTGCCAGGCTCAATTGACCTTCCACCTTCTATGGGCTGCACAGCAGGTGTCTTGAGGGTACATATACCACACTGGAAAGTTGTATAATGTTTCACCTTGGCTACATCTTCCTAAATTTCTCACTGACATATTGCCATGTCCACATACGCTCAAACTTTAACTGACTTAGAAACCCAATAGAAATGCTAAAGCCAATTATGCAAAAATTTTCTTAATGATAACCTACCTTCTAAAAGATGGTTTTTCAAAATAGCAGAATCTAAAGGGAAATAATCATATATACGTATTTTACAATATCCTCTCTAGTTCTAAGTTAGTGTACTCGATAAATGTCAGGTCTACCAACAAAAATAACAGAGTGATTGGTAGCAGGTGTACTCCTCAGAAATCTATTTGGTACCCTGATAAACGCTACTTTATAGCTTAAGAAACCAAATGACTAATACATTTAATATCTCCTCTTCTGATTAAACAGCAGCAATATCAGAATCTATATAGGGAAAACTGAGTTTGAAAAACAAAACAAGGGGCAATTCTCTCCTAGGACTTTACTATTTTAGAATACTGGCTAATCTAGACACATCTACCTAAAACACCCTAAGATTCTAAGGCTTAGATTCTAAAGAAGCTAATTCTTAACCATTAACTCGTCAGCACCTATAAAATATAGCTTGCTATAAAAAGGAATCATTGTTCTAAAATGTAGTGGTAAAAGCAAAGACAGAAGAATCTATACAAGATGGTTTAAAATGTGAAATGTGTGTGTCTGTGTGTATATATATATATGTATATATATATGCAACTACTGAAAGATGAAAACATTATAGAAAAGTCCTTCTAAGTTAAGTCTAGCTTGCTTTGGGTTGCAAATTGCTTGGGGGGGATGAGAGGGGATGAGGATGAAGAGAGCCTCTTGAAAATAATTCATGTCCATGAAGAGAGGAGACCAGGTCATAGTGACAGAAAATGGTGTAAGAAATGTGAAAGAACAGAAAGAGCAATCTATGATGTATGAAAGAGATGGAAGATGCACTACACTTACGACAGGATGGAGACCATTGGATACTAGATACTGCAAGGGCCGCCATCAATATACATGAAGGGATGAGCTGATAGCCTTTGGAGAAGCAATGTGACCTCATATGACCCAGGACAGCAATGCTCAAAGCTTGGCAGCACCTAGGTATGGCCTTCATCCTGTAGTGGGCAGAGTGAGGCTGTGATCATGATAATATCTATTACAAAAATCATCAAAAGAAAGAAAGAGTTAAGTAATTTTATCTTTACAAATGCCACTTGCTTTTAAGGATAATACATTCAGAAATCTTCACCCTAGGTTTCAGAAGCCTAAATCCAACCTAGAAGCTAGCAACTGCTTTAGGATTTCCATTTTTTACAACAAACATACTTAATGCTCCAGGAAGTAACCATCTCCTCTTAATTTTAAAAGATGGACATATTTAACTAATAGTCTCTTATTTTTAAACCCAATACAGTTAAGTACAGTAGGCATTTGCATTATGAAGTCAGCTGAATGACTGAGAGATTAATTTCATGATGTGATTTAAAGAAATCAATACAAGGGTACAGAACTCCAAACATTTACATGGAAATATACACAGAATAACTTGTTTGTGTTTTTCATATTCTGAGAGTATAGAAGTTGAAATATTTCATTGGCTGGGAGAAATCTATTTTTCTATAGACTTGTATTATGAATTAGGGTCCCAAAGGTACAACAGATTTACTATATTTAAGACAGGAGTATTTTCTAATCCTGTGCCTATTAAAGTAGCCAACTGCTTAGAAGTGCTTTGTAGATGAAAAAATACTCAATACACAATCTTGAATGCCAAGGAAAAACTTTACTAGTTTCATTTACCACTATTTCTTAAAGTTCATTTTATTTTATTTTTTAAATTTTTTAATTTTATTTTTTGAGACAAGGTCTTGCTCTGTTGCCCAGGCTGCAGGGCAGTGGCACAAACATGGCTCACTGTCACCTTGACCTCCTGGGCTCAAGGAAACCTCCCATCTTAGCCTCCTGAGCAATTGGGACCATAGGCATGCACCATCATGTCCAGCTAATTTTTCGATTTTTGGTAGAGATGGGGTCTCACTGTGTTTTCCAGGCTGGACTCAAACTCCTGGAGTCAAGGG